GATATTTAAGTTGTGGCTCTAGAATGAGAGTATTCTCTTAATTTTAGTTCAGTCCTTCGTGAACTGTAAGACCTTGCACTATTGGTTGCAGTGACTCATAGTTGACTGGGGGAGAATATGTATCTCATAGCACTATTAAAATGAGTAAAACAATGTAATATCTATGAATAATATTTTTCAGATAATCATAATATGCATAACACATGGAACTTAGTGCACATTCAATAAATTTATAGTGATCTAATTCTATGCCTTTCTTTGAGGCAAATTCTATAAAGGAATATTATTATAAATCATAGTAAAGGGATAAATAGTATTTGTGTAGCATGAGATAATAGAGAGAACAGCCAATGATAAAGAAAATACAGACTTTAATGAAAATATTTACAAAATTATGGCAATAGGGCTGTCATTGAGTTCAAAGAGGGCAATGATACTACAAAAACATTGCTTTTCTTATAGTTGAGGCAGTGGGAAGACAAATAAATCCAGAGGTGCAGCAGGGATGATAAAGAGAAAACACAAACAACACAAACTTCAGAGGTAGTAAAGTAAAGCCTGCATTTTCCTATAGGAATCTACTGATCCCTTGAATTTTGAGGACCTGTAGATGAGTAGTAGAAAAAGACCCATGAAATATTTATTAGAGCCAATACCCACATATCTTTACTTTTTCAAAATTTAGCCAGTATATTAATATTTTGTCAAGTTGACAAATTTTTGCTAGTTACTCTAACAATGTTACAAAATATCACAATACCATATGGTTACAATCGAAAGAACTCTATAAAACATGACATCTATATGTTCATTAAGGTTCTGAATTTTCAGTGGCTTAACAAGATATGATTTTATTTCCTTAACTGTTAATACATACAGCTTGGCAGTCTGCTCTATTAAAAATAGCTAACTTTATTTTGAATATTATTGTTTAGTCTGACTAAATACAGATGAAGATAGAGTAAAGAAGATACACCTATTTCTTAACCAGATAAAAGCAAAGAATTTTTGTTTTTCATCTTCTATTCCCATCCAAATGCAGTTAATTCCAATAAATAGTTTGTACATTATGAAAGGGACTCAAGATCTCTGTGTACAACTGGCATCTCTGCCATAGTCTGCCTATCTGACCCAAAATGATCAGCTTGTATCTGCGTTCCTACCTATAAAACTTTATCCTTTACACCAGAACTTTCGCAATCAAATGGTGATACTCTGGTGAGCTTTAGATACTCTGGTGAGCCTCCTTTTCTAAAGGAACTAAAAGAGGAAAAACTCAACCATTTTCAACTTGTATCCCTGAAACCATTGGACTATTGATATTACCTTCATTTTTACTTATTGACAAACATGTTTGTCAATAAACCACATATCTCCTTAAACAGGGACTCCTAGAGATCCCACCTGATAGGGAAAACGATAAAAAAATTACCTCATCAAATAAGGCAATGATAGGCAAATCTACCTCAGCTTCAGTTTATGAGAAAAGGATAAAACATTGTCTGATAATTTCTGTTTTGAAATTATATTATTAGTGAGAAAAAAATTGATATATAATATGATACAAATTTAAGTGCTCAGTGTATTGATTTGTCATATTACATATTGCAATATGCTTACCAAGCTATTGTTTTCAAACACCTCTATTAATATACATAATTACCGTTCAGTTCTTCTGGAGGGAGCAATTAATATAGACTCTCTTAGGAGCCTTGACATTTATAAAGAGAATTCTTGACCACATTACTATAGTTTGCATTCAATCTTCAGTATTTATTCACAGCTACAACTTTATAGTCTTTAACCATATATTCCAGATAATTTACTTCAGATACTGGTAATTACATTGCATTGACTGTTTTTATAAGTTTGGATTGTTCAGAATCCTACATATATGTATCATCATAAATAGCAAGATGGCCCTAAGTGTTGTTGAATAATATTCTGCTGTATATGTCTACCACAACTTCTAATCAAGGCATTCATTGATACACACTTATTTTATTTCTTGGTTATTTTTATAGTTCTGCAATAAACATGGTTGTGAATAAATCTTTTTTGATATGTTAGATATTTAGCCAGATACATCAAATTTCTGGATAATCTGATTGTTCAATTTTCCATTTCTGAAGAATCCAATTACTATTTTCCACAATGACTGGATTATTGTACATAAACAATGAGCAGGGTTCCCTTGTTCATATAATAATCTAAACTGCTTTATTTTCTTAATTAAATAAGAAGTGACTGGAAGTGATATCTACAAATGTAAAGCAATATCTCATTGTAGTTTCACATTCCCTGACCAGAGAGTTTGAGAAACATTTATGTACTATGGTCTTTGTATATCCTCCTCAAAATATAGACTATATTTTGACTATCACTATAATTATCGACTATATTATAGACAAATATAGACTATCACTACCCATTATAAATTTTGTAAATTTTAGGAACCATGATTACTGTTATTGGGAAGGTTTTGTGCATAAAACATTCTTGCACGATGCCCTTCACCAGAGTGTCCACTTACCTCCAACATTGTCCCAGTGCCCAACCCCATTCTATTCTCCCCTACTTTCAACTTTGGTAAACTTTCTACTGAAAACCAGTTTTTCATTTCTGTTATATTTGGCGTTTTATTTTACTACTCTTTCTTTATATACCACACGTGAAAAAGATCATTCTGTTTGTTCCTCTTTTGAATAACTTCACTCAGTATGATGTGCTCCAGATACATTCACATAGCATAGCATTTCAGCTTTTCTTAAACCCAAGAAGTATTCTACTGTGAATATCTATCACAGACTTTTATACAATTACCTACTCTTGGACTAGGGTTGCTTCCAAATATTGGTTACAATGAACAGAACAACAATGAACATAGAAGTGTGAATGTCTTTTCTGAATGGCATTTTTGTACTGTTGGGATATATGACAAGAAGTAGAATTGCTGGGTCAGATGGAAGCTCAATTTTTAGGTTTTTGAGAAGTGCCCATATTGTTTCTTTCTAAAAGGTTGACATTTACACCAACAATGAAGGAGATAAGATTATGTCCCATAGATTATGTCCCATTATAGTTTTGATTTGTATATTTACTGATGGTAAGTAATAAATGGTTTTGAGAAACAGGATCAGTCATATGTAAAAATATGATCTCTTTCACATTTTTCACAAATGTCAATTCAAAATGACTTGAAGACCTTGATTTCAGACCTAAATTCAAAATTTATATTGAGAGAAGCAAACACTTTGCTCCTCTCAATATAAAGTGTTCAAATACTCACCGGAGCAAGTGTTTGAACACTTCAGAAGATTAAATCCAGAGGGGTCTTCCATTCCACTACCTGCCCTTCATCATAAAATTAGAAGAATTAGGAAGGGAAGAAGAAAAGGGGGAAAATGAGAAAAGAGGGGTGGGAGGTGATAGAGGTAAGATTCAGGGGCTTGGCACACATTGGTAGTGGAGAGAATGAAGTAATCTATATATCTACAACACAAAACCAACAACATGATAAGTACAAAATTCAAACTACAACAACAATTAAATTTTAAAATGTGCTTGGAGCAGACAGGGTGGGTGTGGAAGGGAGTCTGGAGCTATTGCTGTAGGGAAGACTGGTGGTTGAATTGGCAATAAAACATTGTATGCCCAGAATTCAGCTAAGAATAACTTCAAATCAGGGTGCCTTAATGTTTAATAAAATAAAAAATTTAGAATAGTGAGTTTTTAATTATAGAAATGTATAATATATTTTATGATATATAATTTTTAATTATTTTCTTCCAGTCTTTGTTACTCTTTATTTTGTATTGCTGCTTTTGCTGTGCAGAGATTTTAATTTTGTATAGACTCACTGTTGAAGTTCTTTTCAAATGGAAATTTTTTTTTTTGCTTTTTTTAGGTGACACCCAGAGATGCACAGGGATTACTCCTGGCTCTGCACTCAGGAGTTACTCCTGGTGGTGCTCAGGAGACCATATGGGATGCTGGAAATCAAACCCGGGTCGGCCGCATGCAAGGCAAATGCCCTACCCGCTGTGCTATCTTTCCAGCCCCATAAATGGAAAATTTTTTAATTGAGACAGTATTGCTTCACAAGACTTTGTGTGTTTTAGAGAGGTGATTACACACTTCTCATAAATATGTTATTGGGGCCATAGCGAGACCTCAATTGGTTAGGAAGTGTTCTTTGTATGGAGGAGGTCCAGGTTGTTTATTTTATTTTGGTTTGGGGACTTCAACCAGCTATTATCAGCATCCCATTAAATTTTCATTATTTAATTTAAAGGTTTATGAAAGCAGAAACATAAAAAATTGCTAGTAGTCTGTGATATAAATTACATAAATGTCTGTTATCAAAGAGATTTTATGAGCATCTATTGCTCTATCAATGTATGGGGCCCAGCATTATATATGAACTTCAAGTGCTGATTTAATATCAAAGGCCAGTTAGTAAAATCATTCTAGATTATCATGTAGAGAAATTTTTTCAACCAGGGTCCCTATAAGGATGGTCTTAGGGGATGTTATTGCGGGGTCATAGGTGAAAATCACATACATGGAACGATGGCATGAAGCTATCGGACAAATCTATAACTAAAAGGAACCACAGGAAGTAACCAAGGGTAGAGAGTGGGCATAGTTCAAAAGGGTTTGAAAAATACTGATACAGAGAATTGACAGTATTTTTCTAATTTATTCTATCTATAATTCTTACATAATAACAAAATATGAAATGGGAGACCATGAAATTAAAGAATATTAGGGAATAGTGTACTAATGATATCCATGTACTCTCTTTGACTCAAAGACAATGACAAATAAGCCAAGAAAATTAGACAAAGCTTATGTTCCTCTATGAAATCCAGAGATTGATTCAACATCAGGACTTGTGAATGTATAGTCATCTGCATGCTTCACTGAAAAGTGAAGCACATTAAAGTTTCTGATTTTGAGAATAAAGCCATTATTTTCTTTTCTCTTTTTTTTAGTAGATGGAACCAAGCATCTCTATGGAAGGAAATAGAAATTACTCTTCAGTCGTCATGTTTGTTTTCCTGGGACTCACAGATGACAAAGAGCTACAGCTTGTTCTCTTTCCTATCTTTGTAGGGATCTACCTGGTGACCTTAGTCTGGAACCTGGATCTGATCATCCTAATCAGGATGGACTCCCACTTGCACACACCCATGTACTTTTTTCTTAGCGTCTTGTCATCAATAGACATCTGCTTTACTTCTTCCATCAGTCCCAGGATGCTTTCAGATTTCTTCAAAGAGGAAAAAACAATTTCTTTCACTGCCTGTGCTACCCAATATTTTGTGGCAGCTTGGATGGGTCAGGCTGAGTACTGCCTCTTGGCCGCCATGGCCTATGACAGATACGTTGCCATTGGTAACCCTCTGCAGTACTCAGCCATCATGGCACCTGGGCTCTGTCAGAAGATGGTGGCTGGGGTCCTTGGAACTGGTTTCCTCTGTAGCTTACTTGAAAGTGTCCCCTGTTTTAATATGTCTTTCTGTGGGCCAAATGTTATCCAACATTTCTGCTGTAACATATCTGAGATTATTCTCTTGTCTTGCTCTAGTCCCTTCATCACCCAAATCATCCTTTTCCTTGCAGCCATATTGGTTGGATTTGGCTCCTTGCTCATTATCCTATTGTCTTATGGTTTTATTGCAGCCTCCATCTTGAAAATATCCTCAGGGAAAGGGAGTGCCAAGGCATTTAACACCTGTGCCTCCCACCTGGCAGTTGTGACCCTCTTCTATGGCACAGCCTTAGCAGTGTACATGCGGCCTAGTTCTGGCCACACTGAGAAGCAGAACAAGGTGCTGTCAGTGTTCTATATTATCGTCATCCCCATGTTAAACCCTCTCATCTACAGTCTAAGGAACAGGGAGATCAAAGAGGCCCTCAAGAGGGTGATAAAGAAGGCTACATTCTTTCCTTAGTAAGAATAATATTCAGTAATGTTTCCTGAAGAGTAGTAAAAAAGCAAAAGGAATAAACGGAAAACCACCAAAATATTTGGAAAGGTATTATCATAACATTGACCAATTCAAGTCTTTAAATTTCCTCTTTAAAACAAAAGCAGTTTTATTGTCATATAAATATGTAGCTATGATTCATAAATCTTATGTAGCAGACACAAGCTCTTACCATATAGACAGATAATGAAACACAAACGTATAGTTGTTTGACTTAGGAAAATACTTCAGTTGCTAATTGCGTTTCAGAAAACCAACTTGCAGGAAAAGACACTTATTAAAGATGCTTCACCCCAACCACTGGTCTTGCTTTAAATTCTTCTTATATTAGAGCGAAAGAGGTAATGTAAACCCATTGTTTTCCCTAGAAAAGATAGACCATATTCTGCATTTAGGAAAAGTATATGTGCACCCATTTATTTACTTTTTTTGGGTGCTACCCCCATTGTTGCTCAAAGGATCATGATATGCTCTTGTTTGAACCTGCCTCTGGCAAGCTAGTGCTCTAACCCTTTGAGCCATCTTCCCAGCCTTACCCCCAAGGTTTTTTTTTTAAAAAAAAAAACTTTGTTTTTCAAAAAATAAAGTGTGTGGGGCTGGAGCTATAGCACAATGGGTAGGGCATTTGCCTTGCATGCTGCCAACACGGGTTCAATTCCCAGCATCCCATATGGTCCCCTGAGCACCACCAGGAGTAATTCCTGAATGCAGAGCCAAGAGTATCTCCAGGTGTGACTCAAAAAGCAAAAAAATAAAAAATTTAAAAAAATAAAGTGTGACTACTTTCCCAATTATGTTTTCAAAGTACTTTCTATAATTTTTGAAATCAATTTTAATTACATTTCAGAATTTTTACCAGTCAAAATAAAATCATTATAGATAATTTAACTTTTTTGTAGCTTTCTCTTGATGGTCCCAAATACTTTCTACATGAGAACTGAACCTGCTTAGACATGGTGATTCCTGCATGTCTATGGGGTTTATTATGTCCATAGAAATTTTCTCCAAATCAATCCAGACATTTTGAGAAAGATTGTAATTTTTCCCACTATTAAAGCTTAAATTATTGGTTATCTAATGCAATCAATGATAAGAGGAGCCAATTCTGTGTACAATTATTATGTACCTTACTGTGTGCTAAATATTTTCACAAATTTCTTCATATGGTATTTCAAGAACTTTGTATTTCATAAATGTAGACAGTCTAGGAACAAAAGTTATTTTCATTTTATTGACCAATCACTGTATGATTTTTGTTTAAAATTAAGGGGTAGCACATAATGTAGATAAGCATTGGAAAATGTTCATTACAAAAGAGTAATTATAGCTAAACTTTCCTTGGACATTTTGGCTTGTAGGTTTTAATATTTCATATAGTCAGATGACATGATACAAGCATAGAATAATCTGATGAGTCATCTAAAAAAAACCTTATAGAAACAACAAACCAATATAGCAAAGCAGAAGATTATAAAATCACTACTCAGGATGATAAAGCCACAGATAATATTATGCTCAGTGCTTTTCTTAAAACTAAAAGCTTTTTCCTTAATACCTGAAAGAGGGCTAGTATATACACCCTTACCACTACTCTTCAACATTCTTTTGAAAGTCCTAGTCAAAACATTTGAAAGAAATCCACAGTTAAATATGAAGTATTTCTATTTGTTGGTGAACTTATAATATGCACAAAACCTCCTAAAGACTCCACTGAAAATATTTTAGAAAAAAACTCGGTGAGTAGAGAAAAAAATTAATATGAAAAAATAAGTGGCATACAGGCCGTGGGGGGGCTCCACAGCTCCCAGAGAATGCACCAGGTCCCAAAAAGAGCCAAGATCACTGGGAAGTCCCAGATGAGGTAGTTGCCGCATCACGCCTCCTCCAGATGGAACCCCCGTGACCAGGAGCCTCTACAAGCATAGTTCGAGTATGCGGGACCCAGGACTTTTCCTCCAAACTGCCGGGACCTTCCTGGCTCCCAAGTAACCTCTGATTCCGGAAGTCATGCCCACAACCCGCCCCCAGCGCCATCTTTACAGCACACAGCCGCAGAAAAGAAAGGCTGCGGGGGGGTGGGGGGTGGGGGGGAGGGGCTCCACAGCTCCCAGAGAATGCACCAGATCCCAAAAAGAGCCAAGATCACCGGGAAGTCCCAGATGGGATAGGTGCCGCGTCCTGCCTCCTCCAGATGGAACCCCGATGACCAGGAGCCTCTACAAGCATAACTCGAGTATGCGGACCCAGGACTTTTCTTACAAACTGCACGACCGCTTATGTGGCCGTGCAACATCTCCCTATATACAAAGTGATCAATGGAAAGTAAATCATCCAACGTTTCTCCCTGAAAATCAGGCTTAACTCTTATACAAACCACAACACCCAATAGGAGAGAGAGAACAAAAGGGAATGCCCTGCCACAGAGACAGGGTATGTTGGGGGGGGGGGGGGGGTTTGGGAGGGATACTGGGATCTGCGGTGGTGGGAAATGGTCACTGGTGGAGGGCTGTGTATTCAAAATAAATAAATACATTTTAAAAAATAATAAAAAAGAGTGCCAAAAAATAAATAAGTGGCATTTATATTTTCAATGAACTGCATAAAAACAATATCCTAAAGTAAATCTATAACAATAGAGTTTAAAAGCATATAATAAAAATTTTAAAACATTATGAGAAATTAGCAAAAATGTCAAGAAATCTGTGCTCTGGCTTGGAAGCCGGCCTCACATGCTGGGAGAAAAGGCAGATCAAATAGAGAAGGAACCATCAAGGGCCCACTTCAGATGGGAGATGCGTGCTGAAAGTAGACTATAGACTGAATGATGGCCACTCAATACCTCTATTGCAAACCACAACACCCAAAAGAAGAGAGAAAGCAAAAAGGGAATGCCCTGCCATAGAGGCAGGGAGGGGTGAGGGGGATTGGGTGGGGGTGGGGGAGGGATACTGTGATCTTTTATGATGAAGAATGGGCACTAGCAAGGGATGATCATTGTATGACTGAAGCATAAGCACAGAAGTTTGTAAGTCTGTTACTGTACCTCACGGTGATTAAAAAAACCACTAAAAATGTTGTTTTAAACCACAATGCCAAAAAGTAGAGAGAGAGTTAGAAGGAAAGTGTCATCCACAGAGGCAGGTGCGATAGGATGGGGGTGGTGGGAAGGTTGCTGGAGACATTGGTGGTGGAAAATGCACACTGGGGGGCTGAATTGATAGCACAGCAGGGAAGGGTGTCTGCCTTGCACTCGGCAAACCCAGTTTTGATTCCCAGCATCCTATATGGTCCCCCAAACACTGTCAGGAGTGATTCCTAAGTGCAGAACCACGATTAACTCTATGCATCATCAGGTGTGAAAAAAAAAAGCACACTGGTGGAGGGATGGGTGTTTGGACATTGTATGACTGAAACTCAATCATGAAAGCTTTGTAACTATCTCGCAGCAATTCAATACAAAAATTTTAAAATAATTTAATTTAGTTATTAATGCATGCATCCATCGAAGACCTGATGGTACAAGCACGAAAGATCAAGTACAACCTCATTGGTCTGACCAAAATGAGAAGACATCAATCACATCACACCATTTTTGACACTGGAGAAGAACTGTTCCTTGGAACATGTGACAAAAGAGGCGTCGGTGGTGTTGGGATCCTTGTCAACACGACCTTTGCCATGAGCATTGATTCATTCGAATGCCTAACAACCCATGATTACACTTGAATAGATGTGGTTCACTGCCGGCAGTTTTTATCTTTGTTTTCTATGCACCAACATCCAATTATGGTGAAGGACAAATTGAGAAGTTCTACGTGGAACTGGAGAAGTTTTATAAAGAAGACCACACCTTCAAGATCATTGTCGGTTATTTTAATGCCAAGATAGGACCAAGAAGGTGAGCCGATGAACTCCACATCAGGACCCATGGCCTAGAATGGAACGAACAGGGTGACAGACTGTCTGAGTTCATCATGTCAACCAAGACCATCCATGGTAACTCACAGTTTCAAAAGGCTGAATCTAAATATTGGACATGGGAGTCTCCCGGTGGACAGTTCCACAGTGAAGTACACCACATCATATTCAATTGGCGGTTTTGCCTAACTGATGTTGCTGTTGTCCCAAAATTCCAACCGGGATTGGACCACCCGTCTCCTTTGTGCAAAATTCTACCTCACAGATCGGGGGAAAAAGAATGCAAAGTTTAAGAAGAGAATTCCCAGGACAACCACCACCTGGAAACTCTTTGGCTCTGTTGCGGCAACATGGGAAGATGCCGTCATTGACAACATTGATGAAGAATACGATTGAATGATTTAGCACCTCCATGATTGTGCAAGGAATACTAAGAGAGAGAAAAACACAAAAAACGCCTTTCTTTGAACACTCTTGAACTCTTCGCCAACGTGGCTTGGCACATGCCACAGGCAACCACAAGCAAATGCCCGAGCTGGCAAAACAGTGCAAAGAAGAGATGAAGGATGTCCTCAAAGACAGGAGAGCAGCAGTGCTGGTAGATGCGGCAGAAGCCTGGAAAAGCATTCATAATGCCCACCTGTCTTTCACCAACTACAAGACCAAGATGACTGCCCTCTGACATCCTGATGGATCTATCACATCTTCCAGAAGGTAATGGAGAAGATTATTCATGACTACTAATCAGATCTCTTTAACAGCCACGTCCACTTGCCCACATACCAAATTCCGCAGGATGGATAGTCCTTCCCAATGTTCTCCCTTCCGAAATCCAGCACGCCATCTTGTCGGTAAAGAAACAAAGAGCACCTGTACCAGACAAGGTCAGACATGAACACCTGAAGAATTTACCGTCAGTACTCATCAATACACTGGCTCAGCTCTTCAAACGCTACCTGTCTGAATGCAAGGTTCCATCCCAATGGAAAACCAGCAAGACTGTACTATTATACAAGAAGGGAGACATCCACAACATTGGCAACTAT